ATTCGTAGGCTGGCCTACTAACCTAACCACTGCAATTGTTGCTATGAACGAATATCTCTAGTCCCAAGCAACCAACTGATGTTGGGATACATACTGTAGGACCTGCTTACACTGCCCTGTATTTTTAGGTATAGAAGGACTTTAGCCAGAGACCTTAATCTGAATGCTAGTGACTAATAATGGAAGTATATGACCTACAATAGGTTCTAACCTCTTTAAGTTTCAGTTTCACCACCCAAAAAAAAAGAAAGATAGCAAGGGGATATTGTGAACATTAGATTAATGATATGCGGAAATGCCTTGCACTAAATAAATTCCTATTTCCCACACATCTCCCTCTTTTAGTACATTACATGTCTTTATCCTACAAACTTGAAGGTTTATAGTTGTGTTGTGCCCACTAAATTAGCATAAAGTGTTTTACTCTGGTAAGAATTACATATTACAGTCCCAACTCTATTATCAATATGAAAAAGAAACACAACGTCCACGAATTGTTCTGAAGCATTATATGGTTATTGCTTTAGTAATGAAAACCCAATTATAATATTACCGTACTAAAGTATACCAAACTATTTTAAATATCAAGTACATAGTAATATATTCTAACATTCTCGTGGCAATTATGTTCCCCATCTTCACTTACAGTCTAGATTGTGATCATTTATGAAGAAACAAATTTTTTCTCATGCAACCTTAAACGGCTACTTCATATAAGAACTCCTTTCATTGCAGGTTAATTTGAAATTCTCAGCACATTATATCCAGCTATCGCAGATACTGAAATAAAACTTCATTAGCCAAAAATCAAGCACTGCTCTATTTGCATATCTAAGAAAAAGTTCAATTTTCAGAACCTAAAATTTTAAGTCAAGAAAAAAGCATTATGAAAAATAACCTCAAAATTTACATATTATTTTATTATTCTGCGATGGCTGTTTTGATCCCCAATCCTGCCACATAAAACAATGACCTTTAAATAATCAAAACAAAGTTTCTCACTATTCAGAGAGCATTGTTTTAAGATTTACTTGGCACTTTAACCATCTTAAAGCTTTGAAGCACAAAGGAATAGTGAATGACACATCCATTTTAAGCTACCACATGACCTGCTTTACAGAGTCTTCAAGTGATATTTTCAAGGAGTAAGCAGAAAGCTTTATAACTTTCAAATACATGGGATTATTTTCTGTACTTCATGGGCTAAGTTATCTGAATATTTAAAGCTATACTTTATAAATTATAAAATTCACTGATAATTTTCACATTCTTCCTGAAAATAACATGAATTACGATTTAAAAGCAATATGGAAACTCAATAATCAAATTCAAACTCTGTGTACATGTATTTACACACACCATAATAAAATAATTCAGAGACTGGCTAGCTTAAGAGACACAGAAAAACTACTTTTCTCAGACAAAAATTAAAGTATTAAATATTTATATTTAAGATAAAGAATTTTCAAATATTAATATTTTGGGGGCTAAATGAATTTAGAGTAATATGCATTCTTTATATATATATATATATATATATATATTTATTTTTTTTTTTTTTTTTTTTTTTAAGCTGAGCCATCCTGCTACCTGTTGGCAGCTCAGCGGCTGCTCAGCTCGGGCTGGACTCGAACCGCTGTTGNTTTTTTAAGCTGAGCCATCCTGCTACCTGTTGGCAGCTCAGCGGCTGCTCAGCTCGGGCTGGACTCGAACCGCTGTTGCTCAGAGCTCAAACTCTCATTCTTTATATTTTTTGGTCTGTTACCTAAACTATAAACTTTTATTAAACACTAATTTCAAAAAGTGTATAAAATAAACTGATTCTCCAACAACTCATATCCGTAAAACTCTTCCTCTAATCAAGGTCTTTGTTGCCATTAGCATTACTAGCTGTTTCCATGCAGCTCTGCAAGGAAGATACGTCCACAACGTAAAAAATGCAGCAACAGAAAGAAACAACCCATACAACTCTGGCACTCCAACTTCATACTTATCTATGGTTATCTATACAAAGCTTAAAGAGAGACTCAAATAGTTGAGCAAGTAGGAAACCTAGGTAGCTTTCCCTGTTTCCCACATCATCTCTGCCGGGCACCGTGAGTTCAGTTATTTTGTAGAATATTGTCAATTCCCAGAAGAGCATATAACGCGGAGAAATTAAAACATGGAATGGAGTTTGAAAGCTGCCTAACTTCAAGAAGTGAAGCTTGAGTTCCCAGGTCTGGAAGAGGTTTCCGACCACTGCCCAGGTCTTCCCACTCTTCCCCACTCCGATGCTCTTTTCCTTACCACCCACATTGATTCCATCATACCAAAATAGTATCCAAAAGAATTCTTTTTGGCAATCTGCCATTTTGAACAACAACCAACACTTGTTCAGGAGAGAAATAATTTGAGAGATACATGTAGCTCACTTGGGAACACAAGTAGAAAGAACTCAAGTTCTTTAGGTCTCCCTTCTTGCTAAGGGAGCCTCCAAGAAACGCAGGATTAGGAACAAGCAAGAGGCTGAGGTGTTGTTTACTGGCCTATCTTCCCTCTTCCCAGGTGAACAAAATCCACCCTGCTTACTCTGTCACCTCATTTTCTTATAATTTGATGAACAGCCTTTCTTCATCTAAGAGAGAACCAACAATGGGAAATATATTCACCAATATTAATCACTTTTCTACTTCACACTCCATTCTTCTACTTCGAACATCCTAAATATGGTTCATGTTTCTGCTGTTTCTCATCGTGCTGTCTTTGCAGACTATAAGTTTCAAAACAACAGCATGTTTCTGTTGTTTTATTACATGGTGTAACAATGGAAATAGTCATTCTTCTGACTGCTCTCATGATTAAAATGAGATTCAGAGGGGGTAATGGTTGTGAAAGCACTTTTTAAACTGTAAAGTTTAAGATATTAGTAGTGCCCTATCATATCTGAATGACAAAGCATCCCTAATTCCTCATTACAACACAAGTAAAAAACTTTCTTTGAAATTACAGCCTACTTTAAAGATTTAACTAATCATAAAAGAAATCAGTTTTCTGATAAGAAACCCAAAAGGGAAAAGCAGTAGCATCTGCCATTCAACAATTCGTATATTTGTCAATGGTTATTTTACATAAAAACAGTTCAATGTGACGTTTTTTGTAACATGCTCAATTTTAGAATAAATTACTTTCATACCTGTTATTTATTGTTACTTTTAAATAATTATTGCCTGTTTATTTATACCACAGGATTAAAATCCATTCGTTTAAAAATTTCTTCAGAGTTCAAGTAAAATTACAGTTTTCTTAATATTGTCCTAATTTTCCTGAGAAACATACTTCGGCATAACACTCAAATTAAGATTCTCCTTTGTTTTGGTCCACATAAAAGACAGTCTAATCAAAAGGGCTAGTAAAACAAAAGAAAACTCAGTCTCTCCAACAGCTTAGTTCTAAATTAAAACATACATATTCAGCCCACACAGAATAACATTTTGTACTGTCAAATAAACATTCATCTAAGAATGCACACATTCACAGAAATTAAAATATTGAGAATTGTTTGGTTACTCCTATTCTTGTAAGATCAGCGAGGCTTAATGTACAGTAGTTAAAATTATATTGGATAAAAATAAATGAACTCCATCTTTCTTCAGAAACATCAATACTACATCCAAAAAAGCATCACTTTTCATTGTAATTAAAACTCACTTTAATTCAGGGCAAAAACAACGACTAGAAAAATTCCTTGGTGACTCTGCACTTTACTCATACTTTTATTTTTTAGGTCATCTAATAATGTATAACACAATCTCCAAATAAAAGATGTAACTGACAAGTATCCAGAGAAGGACCACATCATAAAATCACTCCATCCCTGTATCTTACTTCTGCTTTCTCTATTCTAACATCCCAAAGCAAGCATTCTTAATACCTACAATTATCCCTTGACATGATAACATGATATTATATATATATATATATATATATATATATATATATATATTTCTAAAAAATGTTAAAGCCATACAAATGATTATAATTTAGTGGCAGTATGGCATGATCTTAAAAATGTCACTTAGTAAAATACCTTACTGGTCCTGATAGAATAAAAGTAGCTTTAGCTAGGTATCTGTTGTTATCAATAAATTATTGACATCTCAACCAAACCTTGTATTTAAGCATTCTCTTTCAAGCTTCAGTTCCTTAAAATTAAGTAAAAAAATTTAAAACCACAAAAACAAGCTCATAAGTAAAGCAGTTTCTAATTTAAAATGAAGATAAAACAAACTTTATTTTCCCTGGGGGATAAAAACTTTTTTCCCACATAATGTTCCCCTCAAGCATTGTATACATGTCTCCAAATACTACCAAGTTAACCGTGAAAAGGAATTAGTTCAGTCTTTTATAGAATTCATTTAAAGGTTAGGACTGACTGATCAGCTCTCCTCTACATGCTCCACTGAAAGTCTTTCTTTGGATCACACACATCAGTAAAACATTTAGATACATTTTTAAAACTTAGATATATTTAAATAAACCCACGCAAATTACAAACAATGCCCCAAGAGATGTTTGTGAAATATTCACTATTTATTTGTTATTCCTTTTAGCCCTGTCATTGTTTATCAAACTGTAACCTAGCTTTACATCACTTCTGCTACTCATTAACAGCTCAGGTCAAAAAACACATAAACAGAATTCACTTAAAAAGAAAAAAAAAGATGCTCAAGGCAAAATATTATATAAGCTCTATCACCGAGGAATATACACTGAAGGACTAAAAGTGCAAATGTGGCCATAAACTATCTGATTTTCAAATTAATGAATGTCCAGCCAAATAACAAGAGAACTAAGAGTGGCATCTTTTCTCTCAAAATTCCAACACTATATAAAGGATAAAGTCAATATTATATGACAAGCCTTAAAAAAAGTCATGATCCTATCCAGACATACTATTCAACTGAAGATAAATCACAACATTCAAATTAGCAAGGAAAATATCATAATAAAAAACTCACTTTATATAGTATCTTGCACCTTCAAAAGTATATGCTTCTTCCCAGCCAGTGGGCAAATCTAAAAAGCACATATTACACAATCAGTATTACTTCAATGGGACAGCAAAATAAGTTTCAACGCATTTTAATTATTCATTTTCATGATCAGCTATTTTCATTAAGTACTTTTCTAACCCCCCCCAAAAAAAAGTGTTGAAATGGTAATAAAACTCATAGTTGATATATATCATTTTTAGCAAAATGGCAATTCAAATTGAAAACCACCAGAAAAAGTCACAATATTACAGATATGTCACATGATTATATACGTTAATGATTAGAGGAACAATGCCCTGGCATCCAAAAAAGCAAAGGGAAGCCTTCTAATCCTAGGTAGAAAACCCATGAACTGTTGGCAAAAAAAAAAAAACCAAAAACACTGCATAAAAGGCAACACCTGCTTCTTCTTAGGTATATTGTGTCTATTTAAGACTATACCTTCCAGCTACATAAATGAATCCATCCAGGAAGTGTCACTGATGAGAAAGAACTTCCTAAAATAATTAGGGGAAAAGAAATCTGACAACACATACTTATACATATGTGTTTCTAAAGACTTGACTTTAAAAGATTGTGAAGTTTCAAGCAATAAACCTGGTAATAATTCAGGTGAACCATGATAACTTTATGTGCTACATACTTACAAATGAACAGTGGCTTAGATTTAATCATAACACCTCTCTAAAATAAAAAGCCGTTAATATGTGTACAAAACCAGAGACAAAGCAAAGTAAACCAAACCAGAAAAAAATCCTGATCGTGTTAAAAAAAAAAAAATTTGATGAAAAATCATTAAGAGAATTTTTCTGTGGTGTGAATGTTCTCAAATCTGTGGGGGTAAATGGGATATAAATTTACATTACACGTAACCAAAATAAGCAAGAAACAATTCCACAAGATGATGAAGCTAAATAATTTAAATACCATATTGGCTTCTGAAATAAATTTGTTACTACTATCCATAAGGCAAAGAGGCCAGCAAAGTTGAAATGTGTATGCAAAACACTGAAAGGTATATTGAGGTCAAAGACTACTCCTCTGGGGAGTTAAGGAATATGACGATGTTATTAGTCAGAAATGTCTTTAAAAATGTAACCTCATGTTTGCTACACCAACCTTCCCGTTCCTCCTCCACCTTTTTGCAAATTTGGAAACATTAGTCACTTCAGTGAGAACTCCAGAATTTAAAAGGCAGGTTTGTTCAATAGCCTGGCAACTCTGAGAGAGTCACAGAATTTCAGAGTTGGAGTGAAAGTACTATCCTGAAAGCACTGCTGAAGCCGGTCTCACCTCCGACCTTAACTGTTCTCAAGCCTTTCCAATCACCAGAAATAGAGGCAGGCCAGTAAGCGAACACATGTTACGTTTCAAAGACAAACAAGTTTCACGAATGTAAACAAAGGACGACAAAAGAAAGCCAGACCAGCACTGAGGCTACCACCAGCCCTGCTCCAGCTCAGCTCCCATTTAAGCCTTCAAACAAGCTACCAAAGGCTCCGGAGAGATCTGCTTCCCCGCCGACCCCCTCCAATTAGGGCACAGATGCCCACACACGGGACACCCCCTTGCACGCCCACCGCCTCCTGGCGGTCTGTGCAACCTCAGTACTGCTGCCGGGGACTTTGAATCTGGCTGGCCAGCAACTGCAGCTGCAAAAGCCTCCTCCGGCTCCGGCTGCTGCTCCGGCGGCAGGAGGAAAAGCGCCCATCGTTTTCTGAGCTGTTCTTGGTCTGAGAGAGGATCGCAGCACCCCCAAACTCCTCTCCTCCTCCTCCATCAGCCACCTACCCACAAATTCCATCTAAGAGGATGAGGAAGCTGCACAGCAGGAGGCTGCTCTCCCGGGAGGAGGGAGAGGATGTGAATACATTATTCTGGCGGACCAGTGGCAGGGTCCCGGGCTGCAGGGAGGGCAGTGGGAGAGGACTTGGTCTAGGCTGGAAGGGGTGGGGGAGTCTTCGGGGAGGGAGAGCAGGAGGGAGAGCAAACGGGAGTGACTGCGGGAGGAAAAACTCTGGATTCCAGGTTTCCTGCGAGTGGGGAATCGGCCACCACAAGGGCACGGGGGTGTCCAGGTTGGGATAGGGGAGAGGGCGCAGGAAGAGGGCGCCGTCTCCAAGTGGCGGTGAAAGGCTGCGGAGGAGAGGGGCGTCCAGAGACTCGAGAGAACTCGGCGGTGGAGCCCCCGGAGCCCCTCCACCTGCGGCCGCCCCCGCCATCCTCCGCCCCACCTCGCTGCCCCCCCGGGGGCCGGCGGCTCGGGGCAGGTTGCCGGGAGGCTGGCGGCCCGGGCTCCGCCGCCTCCCCCGACCGATCGCAACTCCGCTCGGGCCCGGCCGGGCTCCACGTTACCTGTGCTCTGCCGCCGGTGCCCGGTGACCACTGCCTCGCCGGTGACGGGGTGCAGCCAGGTGGTGCTCTTCGCCTCCTCGCTGCAGGGGGGAGAGAAGGGGCAGAGACGGAGCGTGAGCGGGGGCGCGGGAGGAGCCGCGGGGCTGAGGCTGCACAGCCCCGGCTCGCTCTCCCCGCTCTCGCCAGCCTCCCGCGCCCTCCGGGCCCCCCGCGCCGTCCCCGGCTCCTTACTTGATGAAGAAGACTCGGCCGCCCCTGGTGATCCCGTAAGTCCAGGACCGGGGCAGGGAGCAGATCCACTCCAGGTTCAGATCCGCCGCCATGTCTGATCCCCAGCCGCCGCCGCCGCCGCCTTCTCCTACTGCCGCCGCGGGAGGAGGGAGCGAGCGAGCTCAGGGAGCGCGGAGCGAGCGCGGCCGGAGCGCGCCTCGCCGGCCCGGCGCGCCCCCGCGCGCGCTCTACCCCCTCGGGCGGCGCCCGCCCCGCCGCCCGGGCTGGGTCCGGCCCGCGTCGCCGCCCCTCCGCATCGTCCGCGGCCGCCGGCCGGCCGCCCCGCCGCGCGCTCGGGGGATGGGCGAGCGGCGCCGCGCCCCGAAACCAGGCCCCTCCCTCGCGCCCCTCGCGGGCTCCCGCCCCACCTAGCCCCGGGGAAGGTTCCGGGATCGATAAGCGAGCGTCTTCTGCCCCCAGGGCTTTGCCCTGCGGCTTCCCAGCTCAGCGCGCAATTGAAGAGGAGTGAAATGTCCGCTCCCCGGATTGCTCTCTCTTTCAAACAACAAAAACACAGCATCTGAGCTTTATTTTATAGACCAGTTGGATAGCCAAGAGATTTTTCCAAAATATATGCCATATATATATATATTTAAATATATATATATATTTAAAATAGAAAGCTGTTTTTATTAAAGCACACAGAAGGCTTTTCCTGTTTGTGTTTTGTGTGCCAGATATCAAAGGTTTGACTAGTTGCCGTGGACCAGTGAAATGAGTAGATTCAGGCTTGCCAAAACAAATTTTCCTTTTCCTAAGCCCCTTAAATCATATGTTTTATACAATAAAAACTTGCCTTTTTCTTTTACATTTTTTTTAAAGAGATTCACTTATTGTCAATCTGGATTTCTTCCTTTCCCTACATCCCATAAATTCCAACAATAGCTAACTTGACAGAGCCCTTGAAACGGTGTACATTTTAAATCCCCACAACAACCCTATAGATGCTATTATAATCCCCATTTTTCGAATGGGAAAAATGAGGTTTAAAGAAAAAGAAACTTGTCCTAGGTCATAGTAAGTGGCAAGGCCTGGGTGCAAACTACCTCTAGTATTTCAAAAGTCTATTGGTATAATCGCATTGCTATACTTATTTTAAAATATGTTTACCTCACTCTCCCCACACACCTTTTTGTTCTTTGAACAAAAGGGCAGATTTCACTGCTGCTGGGAGCTTCTCCCTGAACACCATCTAAGAGCACTTGCCTCTTCCCATTGTGTCTGGTCCTCAGCCACACTTGGAATTGCTTATGCATCTTTGCAGCAAGATGACTCATTCCAACAGAATACACAATTCAGTAATAATAGTACCACTGTACTTGGTATTCTTACAGCACCTTTTTCTCACCAGCTTTGGGTGCCTCTGAAGCATTATCTCATTCGTCTTCCCAGTAGCTCCAAAAGGCGAATAATCTTTTTCAATATTTAAGGAAACTAAGGCACAAAAAGGGTAAATGACCTTGGCCAACGCCAGTTCCAGCAAATTCGGGGGGGGGGGCAGGATAAGGATGAAGTTTTATGGACTTTTCTCTCATTCCCCAAGGCCATTCTATCTTTGGTGAAAAGGAGTCTGCAATTACTGCTATAATTTTCCTGTCTATCTGGATACACAGGGGAAAAAAATAATGTCGCTTTAATGTTTTCTCTTCTTGGTTCCTTTGCATTCTCCTCCTTCATTTCACTACTTATTACTTCTTGACATCTTATCTCCTGCCCAGTCTCTGGAAAAGATGACTTTTTCTTTTAATCAATGAATAACTAATAGGAAATGTTCCACATTACCATCACTGGCCACTGGATGTAACATAGCAAGAAAATAAAAAGTTACTGACTATATTGTGCTACCATTACAAATTTTAAACATCTAAATCTAAAGTGAATCTTTTAAATTTCATAATAACTTTAGTCATAATGTTTGACTTTTTGACTGTGTATTGCTGAGAAGTCTTTAAGTTGGCTATATGTTGTATGGGGATTCTTTTTAGCTGTGAATCTCTGATTTCATAAAGATTCACTAGTGCAAGGAATATTTCAAAAAGTAAAAGAGATTCACTTAATAAAAACGTGTATCTTAAGAAATTGCATTCACAGTCCTTAAAGTGGTCACCTAAAATCTTAAGTACAATTCTATAATATGTCCCCAAATTTAGGAAAAGCAGTCAATAAAAAACTAGCAACATACATAGAAAATGAGGCATGCTTTGGGGGAATAATGGTCCTTGTGGCTTCCAGGAGCTAATAAAAGCAGCTTCATACATTAGAGTTTCGGGCATTCTGGATAATTTCACCCTTAATGAGTAAAATTCTATTTTTCATAAAATTTTTCTTGAGTCCCCTTTCTCCATAACTGTACCGCCTTATCCTTGTCTGCTTTACCTTCCAGTTACGTGTACATGTATGCCTCTTTCACTGCAGGAGGCTAGGAATCATGTCTTTCCCATCACTAAATTCTCCCCAACCTGGAGTCAGTACTTGAATGGTTATTGAATTTCATTTTCTTCTCATGCTTTGACCTTCCAATAGAGTTATTTCCAAATAACATATCCATTTTTTATCACCCCATACCTCTTCAATAACTGACTCGTTCCTAAACTCATATCTAACCTCTGCTTTTTATTGCATTTTTTATATTTCCAGCGAATGAGACCTCAATTTCTTATATCATGATCTGCCTTTTTGTGGAGTATTATCCTATGACTAGTACAGCTTCTCTGAAAAAAAAGAAGAGCTTTAAAAAGTACTGAGCACTAAAAATAAACATCATTTTATTCATACATAGAGGGCAATCCTTGTTCTAAAGAGCTTCCAGTTCAAATCTAACAGAGAAATGCACACGGTAGCAAGAAAAACTCAAAGGAGAGTTTCATAAAATAAAAAAAGAAACAGAACAAGGTGACAGCAAATCAGCCCCCCATTCTTTATAGGTAATGAAAACAGCATGAGCTCTAGAAAGCAGATAAAGAGGCTCTTGAGAAAGAAAAAAAAATCCTTTTTCTATCAAGAAACATGTTCATAAACATATTCATAAACATTAATGTTTATTAAAATCTACCAGCAAAGTTTTGTGACTTTGATTAGGTTGCCTTTTCCAAATATATTTGTTACGTTATATGTTTTGTTACATTATTAGTTCACAAATAAAGAATATTGTAAACAGCTCCTTTAGTCAACTATAGAGTGTTATGTATTGTGAAAAGTTGTAAGGAAGGGCAAAGTAGAGGACCCAATTAACTTATTGGAAATCTGGGCAGAAGGGATGGAGGTTGAGGGTCTAAGACAGGGACAAAAAATAATATGTATAAGTCAACTTATTAAAGATTTTTTCTTCCCTCCCTCCAGGGTGGAAGGTTAGCAGAAGAGCGGTTCTTTCTTTTCTGCTTAGGTCCCAGTGGCTGCTGTCGAAATGGGCAAGTTTATGAAACCTGGAAAGGTGGTGCTGGTGCTGGCCGGATGCTACTCCGGACACAAAGCCATCATCGTGAAGAACATTGATGATGGCACCTCAGACCGCCCCTACAGCCATGCTCTGGTGGCTGGAATTGACCGCTATCCCCGAAAAGTGACAGCTGCCATGGGCAAGAAGAAAATTGCTAAGAGGGCAAAGATCAAATCCTTTGTGAAAGTTTATAGCTACAATCATCTCACGCCCACAAGGTACTCTGTGGATATCCCCTTGGACAAAACTGTTGTCAACAAAGATGTCTTCAGAGACCCTGCTCTGAAACGCAAGGCCCGACGGGAAGCCAAGGTCAAGTTCGAACAGAGGTAACAAGATTGGCAAGAACAAATGGTTCTTCCAGAAGCTGCAGTTTTAGATCTTTTTTGCTTCAGTCATTAAAAGTCAAAAAAATTAAAAAATAATAATAAAAAAAAGATTTTTTTTCTGCTAAGGGATAAATGGATAAGAGAGTTTTGGATAAAATTATTTCACTCATTCATTGAACAACCATAAATGGAATCCCAATTGCATGCCAGCCATTCTTCTGGGTGATAGGGATTGAAAAATTTGGCCTGCTTTGGGCGGCTTAGAAAGGGAGATGGAGATGTAAATATTTAAGTATATAGTGGGAAGTAGCATATCTGTCCTTGTAGAAATAAACCTTCCATAACAGTTGTTTTCCAAGCCTGTCCTGGGAACCACTCAAGGCCAGTCTCAACTACAGTCTTTTAATATTGATGTTTTGGAGAGCTCTTCAATTATGAATGGGGACCATTGAAAGAACAATGTAGCAGCACTAGTCACCCTGCTGTTGGCTTGTCCCTCTGCTACAGCTAGGGTTCTAGACTAAGTTGTCATCTGCCTCGAAGCTTGAGAATAAGAGGGAAGGAGATAGTACAAAAATGTCTTCAAGGGATTTATGTCTCAACCCGTAGATTTGCTCAAATTAAACACCTCTTCCTTTACCCCAACCAGAAAACTCCAATCATCTACTTCTCTCTTTGTTGTAAAAGAAAAAGACCAAAATTCAAATGGTGGAGAATTATGAAGTTTGTTACAATATAGGGGCATCTACTTCTCTCTTTGTTGTAAAAGAAAAAGACCACAATTCAAATGGTGGAGAATTATGAAGTTTGTTACAATATAGGGGCAAGGGGCCGGACAGAGTGGGGGAACATTCAGTCAGAAGTCTGACCAAACTTTATACCTGGCTTTGCCATTAGTTAGCTGTATGGCTTTGAACAAATCATGTAACCTCCATTCCGCATTCAAAGCTCTGGATCCTCATCTATAAAGTAAGAGCACTGGTCAATTTAAGACATTACATATAATTGTTTTTCCCTCTAAAGTTATCTGCTTTTATGGGTTGAGCACTCCAGCGGCTGAAGTTAGGGATGTTTTGTCACAGTGCACAGACAAAAGTAAAATGCCTGCTGTATAGAACTGTTCGGGATTTTCTGCTACGTGGATGGTTTGTTAATAGAAAAGTTTAAAAGAGCAATTTACAGCATTCTTTCACATGCAATATCATACTTAATTTGTACAAAGGACTCTGTAACTGATATATTAAAATATTAAAAACAAGAAAATGGGCCACACGAAGATATATAATATAGCCATTAAGTGGCAGATGTAGGGCTTGAACCAGGTCCTCTGGCAATTAGATTGCAAATTCTGTCCACAAGGTATCCCCTTCCTTCACTCATCATTGTGTCCTCCTCCTTACCCCAGCCCCCTTGAATCTACTGCATGTCTGCTCTCACCACCTTACTGCACCTGCTCTGCCGGGTCACCAGTGTCCCCCTGTAGGCTGTCCAGTGGATACTTTCAGTTCCAAGCTTTCTTGACCTCCCGACTGTATTCACACGTCACCACTTAAACTCCTTGAAACTTGCCACCTTTTGGTATAACACCCCTTCCTTGTAGTTCTTCTGCTCTTTCTGTAGACCATCTGCAACACAGCCACCAGGAAGCTTATTGAAAAGTGACTTAAATATTGATTCCTGGGCCTCTACCCAGAACCATTTAACCAGAACATCTGAGGATTAGATTAAGAAATTGGCATTTAATAAACACTTCGGGGATTCTTATATACACTAATGTCTGATTCTTATGTGCACTAACCACTGCTCCATGTGATAATATAGTTGACCCTTGAACAATACAGGTTTGAACTGTGTGGGTCCACTTACACGTGGAGTTTTTTTCAGTAAACATACAGTCTGTCCTCGTATCCCCAGTTTCGCATCATGAATTCAATGAACCACAAATAGAAAACAATATTTTTGATCTGTGGTTGGGAATCCCAGTAGGTGAAGGGCCAACTTAAGTTATAAGTGAATTTTCAACTTTTTTTTTTTTTGTAAAGATTTTTATTGGGGAATTGGGAGAAGGGGAACAGACAACTTGCTGTCGTTTTGTTCTTCAGTCTAGTTGTGGAGGACGTCGCTTCACTGGCCCAAGTTGGCACCATCATTGCGCTCTTTACAGGCGACGCAGATCAGTTGCCGGCTTCTGGACGGCTGCTCACGAGGGCTGCTAGCTACACACACGGTAGCCCATGGCAACCCACTGCAGCAGGGGTTGCAGCCTATGCCGTCGCTGGCGACTCAGGGCAGCCCAGCTCCAGGTTGAGCTGTTGTTCAGCATCTTAGCTGTAGAGGGGACAGTGTCACTGGCCCTCATATGTGGGATCCGACCCGGGGCCCTCTGGCGTCCCAAGCCAGCTCTTAACCAATGCACCACTCGCTGGCCCTGGATTTTCAACTTTATGGGAAGGGGGGTGGTTGGCACCCCTAACCCCCACACGTTCAAGGGTCAGCTGTAATTCCTGCATCTACATTTCCAGCCTAGCCCTGTCTCCTGTGTTCCAGACCATATAACAAATTTCCTTCTAGACATGTTCCTTCTGGAATATTCCTTCTGGATGTTCCTTAAGTTCTTCAAACTCATTCCCAAACAAGCCACTTTTCCTCCGAATACATGCATCAACTTGTGTATTCCCCTCTCAGTGAACGCGACCAGCATCCAAACAAATATCCACATCGGAAACAGGAATCATCCTCCCACAGTTAGCTGGTTAATACAATTTTTTAGTTGTCCTTTAAATGTATCACCAAATTATCTCTCATCCTCATTTCCCATGTCCTAATATGAGCATTCATCACTGCTACCACTATGATCTTTTTAAAAATGCAAATCTGATTATGTTCCTTTCTTGCATAAAATCCTCTCATGGCTCAAAAAACCGGGAGGATAAAATCCAAAGCCTGTTGCCTGGCATTCGAGGCCTTTCTTGATCTGAGTCCTGCCCGCCCACATGTTAGCCATATGGAATGGCCTACTGTTCTCTGAACAAGCCGGCCTCTTTCAAGTCTCTGTGCACGCTCCTCTTTCTGCCTAGAATACCCTCTTCCCTGTTTACCTAAGAAACTCCTACTTAAATTTAAATTCTTAATTGAAAAGTCACTTCTGCTCAAAAAACAATCCCTGATTCCTTTAGGCCAACCTAGTTATTCCTTCTGCTATAATCCCATATCTTCTCTACTGAGTTATTATAATCTGCATTTCGTTCTCCTCCCTAAACTCCCTAAATGAAAACATTTTATTTATCTTTATCACTTAGCATTCAATAAATGGTATTTACATGAATGAATAACAGTACTTACATTTCCATAGTGCCCTATATTTTATAAAGCACTCTGTATTTGATTCTTATTTCTGTTTGTATTGCTGCAACTTGCCAGTGAGTCATGTTTCTATCCTTTCTTAGATTTAACATTCTCCTTAGCTTTTTATAGACTATTCCATATAGAGGAGGAAAAAAATGGCGTGGGCCCAAGAGCAGCTCAGCAGTATATGGAATACTTGCTTTTCACAGAGTGTCTACCTGGCTTAAAAAAAATACTAAGATTTGTAGTTATATTGAGTGAGAAATTGAAGGACAGAAAGGATTCAACATTCTATTTAATTTGTTAAAGGGATCTATGGAAACTTCTTTCGAATATAAATTCTTCCTAGAAAATGTAACACTGATAAAAATAATAGGTAGTACTTAAAAATCAAATACTATAATTGGATGAACTGTGGAAATAAAAACAAATAAGCTTATAATTACTAATGATATGTGTAGCTATCAGTGATAAAGGTGATCAGATCTCATGCCTTGAGCCCAAGGGGAAAATGAAAGAATGAAGGGGAATCATTGTTCTCCCATTGTTAGTGTTTTACATATTGTACCAAAGCTCTCTGAATAGATAGCTTTTTCTTTAATATTTTACAAATTGCTTAAAGCAAGAAAAATTTTCTCATCTGACAATTAATCTCATTTTATAGAAAATTATATACACACATATATATTTGATTTTTCATTTCAATTTTCTTCAGTTTTCAATTCATTGTTCATGTTTCAGTTACATATAGAATTATATAAGTAGTAATCTAAAATAAAATATCTGTCATTAATTGCAATATATCATGTAGCCCAAATTAATGAAAATGTAATGTTAATGCAAATTTTGTATTATAGGCAGTGCCTTGTATATAATTAGCATTCAACAAATGCTTAGTAATCGAGTGAATCATAAGGTAACAGTGTACAGTGCTTTGAAAAAAACAACTAGAGGCTTTTAAACAAAGCTCTTCTATTTTGGATACATTTTTCTTAAAACCAAGCAGTTGGAAATTCAGAATTGTCTCATCAGTTGAATCTGTGATCTCAAAAACGTACATGTTTGACCTAAGAAAGTTAAAAAATAAAAGTTATGAATAATTACAATAGGAAATGGACAGGTTTAAAATAAAAAGGCTAAAACAATAAACTGTATCAGCTTGCATTTCTTTTCAAGTTTGCGTATGGGTAACAGAGGGAAGGAGAGAGGCTGAGCTATGGAGCTCATTTTGGTGAAAGCATTGTTGTCCACTGGAGGCCTGCCCCACGAGAACTGTGTAATGGTATAAACCTAGAAGCTAGGGAACAATATTGTTTAGGGTCATGTGTGTCACTCTATTTCCAATTGTGTCATTCTGAGCCCAATGTTGCAATTTGTATAAAGGAGATAGAATTAGCTATGAGAATGGTTCCTACCAAAATAATTTAAGAAAGCTTGGCAGGGGGGCAATCTTGATAAAAGGGTGACTTAAAAATTTTTAGGGCCGGCTGAGCGGCGCAATTGTTAAGAACTGGCTTGGGACGCCAGAGGGCCCCCGTTTGGATCTCACATATGAGGGCCAGTGACACTGCCCTCTACAGCTAAGATGCTGAACAACAGCTCAACCTGGAGCTGGGCTGCCATGAGTCGCCATCGTCGGTGTAGGCTACAGCCCCTGTGGCAGTGGGTTGCCATGGGCTTCCATATGTAGCCAGCAGCCAGCGTGAGCAGCCCTCAAGCAGCCGTGAGCGGCCATCCAGAAGCCAGCGTCTGATCTGCCTCGCCAGGGAAGAGCGCAATGATGGTGCCAACTTGGGCCAGTGAAGCAACGTCCTCCACAACTAGACTGAAGAACAAAAGGAGAGCAACTTGTCTGTTCCCCTTCCCCCAATTCCCCAATAAAAATCTTAAAAAAAAAAAAAATTATAATTGTCTTAACGTTCATCATTGACTAAAGACAATTAATTCTGTTTGTCAGCAATACTCAACATGCTCAGAAACTCAGATGACATTCTAAATATTGATAAAAATAAAATAATCTCTTGTGTTTATAAACAAAAAATTTGCTGCTAATTATTTTGATAACTGTAGAAGTTCCCTTGATACTATTACTTAATCTGTGGTAACTACTTTATTAAATTTGATTAAAGATCCTTTATCTGCAGTTTATTTATTTACCCCGTTTAAGTAGTAGACACTTTTCATGAATCCACTATGTGTCATATACTAGGCTGGGGATCCTGGGAACACAAAGAAATACAAATTCAGGTTTTGGCCCTCAAGGCATTTCAGTCAAGTTGGGGTGGGAGGTCCGTGGGGAAGAGATAAGCAGACAAGCATTATATCAGTAATAAATGGTATGATAGATACTGTAGAAGATGGAATATAAAAGCTTGTAAAAAGGGTATCCAATCTTGTGACTATGAGGAGAGGTGGCTAGGAAAGAGTTCCTGGAGAAAGTGGTACCTGAGTTATGTTATTAACTTAACATTGCCTCTCCAAGGCTTCCTTGAAATTGGTAAATTACACCTTAAGCTGAATCTGCTCTCCTTCCTCTCCCCCTCAACTCTGTTTGGTGTATTAGGTACAAGAGGTCTAGAGCTATGTGTGGCAGGACTCAATTGTTTACCCCGAACATCCCTTCTCCCCTCTGAAATCACCCGTGGTTTTTTTGTTGGATACATTGGTGCCTGAACTGAAGACATATTTCCCAGGCACCCTTTTACCTAGATGTGAGCCTTTGGATAGGGTGCTGGTAAATTGGATATAAATAGAGAAAGGTATGGCAGATTATGGGAACTTGTCCTAAAACATGACTGGCAAATGTTTAATCCTGCTTCTTTCCCTCTTCCTCAGCCTGCTGCTTGGAATGTGGGTGGGATGGCTGCATTCCACTTGGGATGAAGAAGACAAAGGCCACACACCCCAGGGATGGCAGAGCAAATGCCTGGATATAACCTGATCCTAAGGACGTCAGGCAGCAGCCCCCACATAAGAACTCTGAAGTGCTTCCTTCAGGCTTACAAGTGAAGGAGAAATTAAATTCTCTCTTGATTAAGCTAATGCTATTTTGTGTGTATTTGGGGGTTGGGGGGGGGTCTTCTGCCACTCTCAGCCAAACCTAATCTTATCTGATATATCAAGTCTATCCTATTCATCAGCACTTAGAACAATGCCTAGAGTATGTCAGGTGCTCAACATTTTGGATGGATGGATGGATGAATGAATGAATGAATGAATGAATGAATGAATGAATGAATCTTCACACACATCAAAATTTAAATACATAAAATTTGCCTCATGCCTCAATAACTCCTAATTGTTTTTTTTAGATGAACCAGATATTCTCATTGCTTACCCTGTTATTTCCTGAGAGTAAGGCAGGCCCTTACAGGAGCTGTTTTTAACACATTCTGGTAATTTGACAATTAATTTCTTTTATATCTTAATTTGAACTATAACAGTCAAAAGTTAGTTGACCTTCCAAATATCCATACTACTTTACTCTCTTTGTAAGACCACACAGTGCCAATTTGTTATCATATTATTACAAACAGAAAGCAAACCTGACAGAAAACTTCAACCAAAATAGGTACTTTTGCCAACTGTGCACTGATGGACATATGTTGTGTTGTATTTATGTTCTGTATACCCAGCTCTCATGGAGATGCTCAGAATACCAACCATGCCAATATTATCAAAATTCTCCCAAGCACATGATCTGTTGAAAAGCCTTACTTATTAGGGGCAAGACAGAGTTGTCAAGAAGATTTATATCGTATAGTTTGTTCTGCCTATAACAAAGTCTAAATAGTAAACATTTTAGAAGAGATAAAAAAAACTTTCAAATTATTCTAGTCCATTACTTAGTAGTGCGTTTTATTACACTTTCTGAGATGCAGCAAAAAGCATTAGACTCGGAGATCTAAGCTTTGTATAACTTTGATGCAGGTTATTTTTACTTTCCATCTCTTTGTAAAATGGCGGAATGTTTACTCACCACATTTCATTATGTGTGTTGAAACAGATAACATCTTAAAATAGCTTGAACTGCTTAGATATCAATGTTTTAAAATAAAGATGGCATTTTTCTAGAGTACAGAAGAAAGGTAATTTAAATTAGTGTAATTTGCATGCTGTTCCCATCTCTGGGCAGCTTGCTATGATTTTTTTCTCTGTCGTCCATCACTTGTTTTCAAAATGATTACTCAAAAATAAAACCGGAGCAGCATTTGTTCTCTTCTGAATTAGTTGTATATGAGTATTGCCCTCTATGGAATTATTTGGGAATGGAGATGAGTTGCTTTTAGAAACAGTTAAAAGAAAGAGAAAAAGGAAGAAAGGAAGGTGTGTGTGTGTGTGTGTGTGTGTATGAACCATAGTATACCATGGTTCTACTTATCTATGAGTTCATGCTTTTGAAGCTCGAATTGATTTTTCAAAATCTTTCTTTTACCCTCATTATATAAAACTATGTTTGATAATTCTTTCTTTTCAGATGAGAAGAACTTATCATCAGAAATGACTTTGTTTTTCCATCCCTTCCCAATCAAGGGTTAAAGATTGGAGTGCTGCAAGAGCAAATATAATCCAATGCAATTATGAAGCAGAATCAGAAGGGAGAGGCTGAAGGGGACCACTGATGGAGATGGAAAAGGGTTGAATGATTCACAGAAGGAAGAATCTCCATCAAGCATTTAGAATGGCTCCCAAAATTGTTCCAAGATATTTATGTACCTAAATAGTAGCCTCTTGGTGTTCAGGAAAAAAATCACTAAATCAGAATTGCTATGGCTTGAATGTGCCTCATTTTTATTTTTTTAATGTCTTAATACTTTATTTTTTAGAACAGTTTTAAATTTATAGAAAAATTGAGACAATAGCTCAGAGGGTTCTCATATGCCCCACACCTAGTTTCCCATATTATTACCATCTTACATTATTATAGTACATTTGTTACAATTAATGAACCAATATTGATATGTTATTATTAACTATAAAGTCCATGGTTTACTCAGATTTCTTTAATGGGCCTCATTTTTAAATCTTGTTTTACAGATGAGGAAGTAGAGGCAGTAACGCAACGTAATTTGCTGGGTCCAAAGCAAAGTGAAAATGTTGGGTCCTTTGTTGAAAATTATTAGGCATTCAAGATGGAGACAGCAGAGCATAAAAGCAGTCATGGGATGCCTCTGAGTGCAGGGCCCTATGTGGCTGCACAGGCTGCCTACCCATGAAGCCACTCCTGAGAAGAAGTCAGACAGGTTACTATGATGGTAAAACTGGTTAGGAGCAGAGCTAAACTCCTGATTCCTTATTTAGTTTTTCTTTTTTTCCTCTGCATTCTATTATTTCTTTATATTAGCTTCCTGTTTAGTTTAGAATAGTATATTTATTCATTCATTCTTTGATTTAATAAATATTTCTTAAACACAGACTATGTGGCAGGCATTATATTAAGAACAAAGCAAACAATTATAAGCCAGTTCTTTTCCTGAACTATCACTTAACAGTTAGTGCAGAAAAAGGACTCCAAGAAAAAATAATCCATTTCTGCAGAGGTTGTGCGGAAAGTGGAACTTGCATATACAACTACTAACAGTTAAGTAGGTATTAATTTTCCAGAAGGCAACTTGGCCATACAAGACAAATGTCTTAAAATGGGTCCCTTCCTTCCTTCCTTCCTTCCTTCCTTCTTTCCTTCCTTCCTTCCTTCCTTCCTTCTCCTTTGGTCCAGAAATAACACTTCTTGGAATTTATCCTAAGACAACAATAATAAATGTAGGCAAAGTTAAACATATAGAGCTATTCAGCACAGTGATTATTTTTTCTCATAAAGGCCCAAGAGTTTGGGTTTTGTTGGGCATATTTTACTATGCCTATGTTGTTAACAAACGGCCATTTAAAATGTGGCTTTAAAACACTATTAACGTGGGAAATATTTACAATATATAATTAGTAAAAAAGCGAGGTTTAAAATAGTATTCTAGCATGACTTTTTGTTGTTAGAAAATACGTTTGTAGCCAGGGAAGCAAGGAAGGATACATACCCAAATGTTAGCAGTGATTTACTTTTTGTAATTAGTTTTTCTGTTTGTATTTAGTTGGATTTTCCAATATTTATTGAGTATATTTTATTTTTATCATAAAACAAAATTTTAAGTTCTACTATATTAAACTATGAAAATCTATGTTTTCTTAAATGCCTAGAGAAGAAGGGCAGCAATTCCACATTTTACCACACACAAAAAATTAAGGATTAAATTGTGTCTATAAAAGCTCACGACAGGCTCCGCCACCGCCAACTGAGCAGATCTGGCTCCACTCGCTCGCGCGCCTCGCTCCGCTTCCTTTCGCAACCATGTCTGACAAACTCGATATGGCTGAGATTGAGAAATTCGATAAGTCGAAATTGAAGAAGACAGAAGCGCAAGAGAAAAATCCACTGCCTTCAAAAGAAACGATTGAACAGGAGAAGCAAGCAGGCGAATGGTAATGAGGCACGCACCTCTGAAATGCACTGTACATTCCACAAGCGTTGCCTTCTTAATTTACTTCTTTTAGCCATTTAACTTTGTAACATGCAAGGAGGTTGGATCAAGTTTAAAATGACTGTGCTGCCCCTTTTCACATCAGAACTACTGACAACGAAGGCCGCGCCTGCCTCTCCCATCTGCCTGTCTTGCTGGCAGGGATGGAAAAGAACTTGCATGTCGCTGAAGGCAAAGCTGGGTTGGAATGACAGTGAAATCCAGAGTAAAAACCAAGCTGGTCCTAAGTGTCCTGCAGGCTGCAAAATACAGTTTCATGAGAGTGCCATTTTGTTGTTAAAATGATTTTAATTATTGGAATGCACAAGTTTTTAAATAATGCAAATAAAAAGTTTTAAAACCTGGAAAAAGAAGTTCATGATAGATTAAACTAAATGTCCATCATAAACTTGGATAAATTGAAATATTCCCCTTATAGTTGAAAGAATTCTTACAGGTCATATGAGCTAATCTTCCAACTAATGTAGAAATAGACTCTACAATATCCTTGATAAGCAATCTAAACTTACTGAATTTAGAGATAGATTTATTTTATTCATGAAAAAGTGGATCTTAGCTAAATTATAACAGAAGCCAATTTGAAATAAGGACACGAATACTCTGTAACTACACTATGGATATTTAGGTGCAATTGTGCATGATAAGGGAGTGGGTGTATTACTGAATAGATGCTCTTTGAAAAATCCATTCAAATTAAATAATTGACTTTTGGCTACTGTTCTTGGTATTTAGTGTGTAGTTAGCATCACCATTCACCAGAGACTGTTTTTAAATGGCCCGATAGAAAAATTAGGAACACTTCACTAGTATAGCACTCTCATAGGGGCTGATATACCAGACCCCATCCATAAAAATACCTAGGACAAAGGTTTCATTCAGAACCTCACTCGGCAGTTTCTTTTATATTTGTAACTATATATAAGTAAAAAAAAAAATTGTCTTTATAATCATACCATTTTGTAAAGTGAAAAGGTAACTTTCAAAAATTAACATTAAATTAAACAAACCAGAAAGATACACAAACAAACGATACTGAAAAATGTCAAACTCATAGAAACAGAATAGAAAAGTGGTTGCCAGGGGCTGGGGAGAGAAGGAAATAGGGAGAGGCTGGTAAAGGGTACAAGCTTTCAGTTATAAGATGATTAGTTCTGGAGAACTAATGTATAACATAATAACTATAGTTGATAACACTGTATTATATAATAGAAATTTGATCATAGTGAAACTTAAATATCCCCCCACAAAAAAAGGTAAATATGTGAGGTAATGGATGTGTTAATTTTGCTAATTAATTTGATATCTTTTCACAGTGTGCGCATATATCAAGTCATCACATTTTCCACTTTAAGTATGTTTCAATCTTATTTGTCAGTTATAGCTCAATAAAACTGAAGAACATAATATGAATGGTCTAGTGTCATTTTTAAACCCTAATTATATAAGAAAAAAATATAAAGGAAAAAGTATCTAGAGAATTATAAGAAAATGTTAATAGTAATTATGTCTGGGGGAAAAGCTTATAATAAAATTTTAGAATAGCAAAATGATTTCTAAAAGGACAATTCCTTTAGAGCAATACTGAATGCAACCCTTACTAAAAGGGATTGGACAAATAATAGGAGTATGCTGCCTGAAAGAGGCTATTGCATTGGACCTGGCCATTCCTTTACTCTAAAATCCCATTTTCTATCTTTTTAAAATTTTTTTATTGGGTTGTTTCCTCCATTAGAAGAGGAGATATTATTTTGGTTTTTGTCTTTTTTCCTGTATATAAATGCCATATAAATACTCTACATTAGTGGATGTCAATATATATATTTTTTACTTTCAAAAGATGCCATTGATCATTGTTATACTTTTAGTGTCAGTTGACTGGAGGGAAAATTACATATATACACTTTGATTTCTAGTTGCCATATCTGCTCTGTGCTTCAGATTTCCAAGACAAATGGTTTGGGAACTACTGTTCTTTATCTTTTCGTGTTTGATACATAAAGGTGGTTTAGTACACTGTGTGATGATACAGATGGTGGTAAAATTACTTTTCTTTAAAAAAACGACAACCACTAAAATAATCACAGAAATCTATGTTCTATAGCTTAGAGCATACTTTCTTATTCTAGAAAATATTCTGAAAATTTTTGCTTACTACTGGTCTGTGAATTCTTTGAAACCCACAACAATTCCTATAGCATTCAGTGTAATCATCTGCTTGACCAACTTCATTATAATGCAGTTAGATTGAATTTATGAGTTAAGAATTATATTTGTTAGTTTCCTTTCCCCTCAAATCTCCCTTCCTTCCTTCCTATATTTTCTTTCCATCTGGTTTCTAGGAGTAGTTTTGTGGATAGATTGACTATCGATTAAAATTTAAACTAAAAACCTTAACTTTAAAAGGCTCTTTTTGTGCTTGTCTTTCAATTCTTATCTCATAATTCCAGCATTTCAAATACTAAGCATCGCCAATGTTGCCTTCTTGACATAACTGGGCCTGACTGCCCTTCAAATTACCTCTATTTCAAAATGAAGTATTCCTCCTCTCTTACCATAAGAATATTTCCACATTAAAAAATATATCTAGGAGCTGATTGGTTCTTTTATAGTTCACATTAAGGTATGAGTGACTAGTAATCTGCCCTAAAACTCTAAAAAAAGATGGTTTATTAATAGAAATAGCATGTAATTAGTTGAGTTTCAGGCAGGGAGGCAGATGTTTTTGGATAAAGGAAACAATTTGATAGCTTGTGGATAAAATTAAGAGGCCTACCCATCCACCAGTGTTCTGCTTAGGTTCAAGAATCTTATAGAAGAATTTACTTTTACTTGGCTTCTCCATACAACTGACCCAAGAATACACTACCAAGCACATATTTTAGATCATTTCTTGCCCTTCTTGTAGGCCCATGGTCAGCTCTGTTTCTTTGTTCTTTTGGGAGTTGGGCTGTTGCTCAGTTGACAACTATCCTTAGCTTATATCCTCTTGGAATCCTTTTCCCAGATCCATCCCAGAAAAAGTAATCTCCAGCCCTAGCCCCCATCCCAGCTTGGGTTTATTGAACCAGACCAAGATATTTTTTTCTTGAACATTCAGCATAACGATCTGTCCTATCCATTAACTAATATTATTTAATATAAACTCCACATTATGTAGAGCTGTTGCTTACAACAAGCTCAGAGAATTCTGTTGGCTCCTCTCCTAAGGTCTTTTTTTTTTTAATGCAAATATTCCAAGTGTGAATAGCTCTTTTAACTAATTTGCACTGAGGTGTTAGTGATTTTTTTTTTTAATGGCCTTTATTCCTCAGAAGAAATTTAGGCAGGGAGATTAGAGAATGGAGGAGGGAGGATATGCAAAGGTAAAGGGAAGAGGAAAGAGGCAAAGAAAGAGGGAGGATAAGCATAATTGAAACTGATACTATGTAAAGACTTCATAATTTAGCCACGTCATGGTTTTTACTTTGGGGAACACGTTTTAGAATAATATCTGGAGGAAGTGCGTTAAATGAGTTTACTCTTTAAGTGATACTTCTATGAAACCCAAGGAGACCAATTGTGAATCCCAGGTTTCCAAATATAGAATTTTTCGTAAGTATTGATCCAGACTTTTCATGGTATTTATAATAGAAAGGCAAGCTTTCATACTCTTGATAAATAAAAAAACAAAAACAAACAAACAAGAAACAAGTTATTCACATATCTCATGGACTCTGTAAACTGTTTAAAGTTTGTGAAATGATAAAAACTTTTCCTCAAAGTGTGACAATATTATTCATGCCTTAGGACATGTTAGATATAAGAAAATAGATTTTCTCTCAGCTATCTACAGAAAAGAAAGATTTCTTATAAAGAGTCAAGGTGTCTCACAGAACTCAACAGCAAGAAACACAGGCAGATCTCCCAATGGATTGGAACTGGCAGCTGAAAAGTCCTCAGTGACTAAGGCAATTCTTGGTTCATTTTTCCTTTCCCTCAATCTCATCCCCTCCCCCACTGCACATTTACCACAGTCTTTAATTTTCCTTGTCTCTGTGTTTCTGTGTTTCTAGCCTCTCTCTTTTTTAAAAATTTAATTGGGGAAGGGAACAACAGTACTGGGGAATTGGGGAACAGTATTGGGGACATTGTGTTTTTCCAGGACCCATTAGCTCCAAGGCAAGTTGCTGTCCTTCTATCTTAGTTGTGGAGAGCGCAAGCTCAGCTCCAAGTCCAGTCGCCACTTTCAATCTAGTTGCGGGGGAGGGGGGATGAAGAGGGGTGGGAAGGGAGGCGCACAGTTCATTCAATCTAGTTGCGGGGGAGTGGGGGTGAAAAGGGGTGGGAAGGGAGGCACACAGTTCACTATCCTATGTGGGAGTCGAACCGGCAACCCTGTTGCTCAGAGCTCGTGTTCTAACCAACCGAGCCATCTGGCTGGTCCTCTAGTCTCTTTTGACAAAGCAGCTTTCTCACTCGCATTTTTCATGGCACATTTTGTAGGGTTGCTCCATTGAGCAAATAAAAATACAGGATGCCTATATTTTACCTGGTAACCCTAAATGATGCCTAGCCAATCCAATGCCCTCATTTCCCGAGTCACCTGGTCCACAACCAGAGCTAATTTACAGACGTTTCTGTGTCTTCTTTCAAAATTCAGGGGGTAGAATCTAATTAGTTCAGCAGGAGCCAGTGGTCAGCCCTAGCGGGTAAGATAATCACAGGGTCCATCTCTACAGGTGGGAAGCATTGTCAGAAAAGGGGTAACTGCTGATGAGTCAACCCCAAATATTATCTAATAAATATAAGTATAGGCTATAAGTAAATCTTGTTATACATTCACAAGTTGCTCTTACAAGTTTCTTGGGTTCGTTGTCCAAGCTTTTTATTGGTCTTTGTATTTCCTGGTGTCTAGAATCTGGTACTTTATACATACTGATAAATTGGGTTAAACAAGAAAAAATCCAAAAATTATTTTATTTCTCTATTAATTTGAATATCTGAAAATGTGGATAAAGAGCAACATTCCAGAAGTGGTCTCCTAAGTTGATAACCATGTCATTTTTAGGGATAATATAATAAGGGATCACATGGAGAATTTTGTTGGCTTAGTGTAGACAAGAGCTTAAAAGCTCAGTGACTTAAAAAGCTCAGTAAATATTTTCTCTTTGGCACATTTTACCAAATAGATATTTTTTAAAAGTACATAAATTACCCTGGGAAGGCTAATATATTAGCCAATCTCTAAGAGGAAAATTATTTTATCAAAATTTCAGATTAAATGCTTGTTTTTTAATAAACATTTTT